AACGGGGAAAAGTCGCGCTTAGTAAGACTGAGCTTGGGATTTCTGGCGTTTATGAATCTGAAATGAGGTTCGCTTATGATTTTCCTAATTTGTATTAACTTCTGAGGATACACACAGACAAATATATACGCACACACACGTATGTATATATATATATATATATATATATATATTATATATATATATATATATATATATATATATATATATTATACTATAATATATATATATATATATATATATATTATATATATATATATTATATATATATATATATATATATTATATATATATATATATATATTATATATATATATATATACTATATATTATATATATATATATGTATGTGTGTGTGTGTGTGTGTTGTGTGTGTGTGTGTGTGTTGTGTTTGTGTGTGTGTTGTGTGTGATGTGTGTGTATGTGTGTATGTGTGTGGTGTATGCATGTGGTATGCATTATATTTGCATTGATTTTCATCGTCATCTTCATCATTACTGTTATTATCATTAAAGATTTTGTTTTTATGATTATAATACACATTATCTCTATCATATTAATATCACCATTAGTAGGATCAATACATAGTATTGCAATTTCGTACATACATTAACTCTGTGTGTGTCTGTTGATTTTTATGTGTGCAATTTTGTATCGGATGTAGCATATACGTTGACATATGACATATTCTGCGTGATGACATATTCGCGTGAAATGACATATTCTGCGTGATATGACATATTCTATATGACATACGTGATATGACTGCGCTGCGTGCGTGACATGACATATTCTGCGTGACATGCGTGATACTGCGTGATATGACATATTCTGGCGTGACATGACATATTCTGCGTGACATGACATATTTGCGTGATATGACATATTCTCGTGATATGACATATTCTGCGTGGACTGCCGTGACATGACATATTCTGCGTGATATGACATATTCTGCGTGATATGACATATTCTGCGTGACTATTCTGCGTGACATGACATATTCTGTGTGACATGACATATTCTGCGTGATATGACATATTAGCGTGCGTGACATATCTGACATGATTTCTGCGTGACATGACACTGCGTGACATTCTGATTACATATTCTGCGTGACATGACATATTCTGCGACATGATATCACATATATTCTGCGTGACATGACATATTCTGCGTGACATGACGATATTCTGCGTGATTGACATATTCTGTGACATACATGACATATTCTGCGTGACATGAATATTCTGCGTGATATGACATATTTCTGCGTGACATGACATATTCTGCGTGACATGACATATTCTACATGTGACATGACATTCTACGTGACATGACATATTCTGCGTGACATGACGTGTGACATGACATATTCTACTGACATACATATCTACGTGACATGACATATTCTGCGTGCGTGCATGACATATTGACATATTCTGCGTGACATGACATTCTACGTGACAATGACATATTTCTGCGTGACAATGACATATTTCTGCGTGATACATGACATGACATATTCTACGTTATGACATATTCTACGTGAATGACATATTCTGCGTGGATGACATATTCTGCGTCACATGACATATCTGACATGACATATTCTACGTGAGATGACATACGTGACATGACATATTCTACGTGACATGACATTCTACGTGACATGACATATTCTGCGTGACATGACATATCTACATGACATTCTACGTGATATGTCATATTCTGCGTGACATGACATATTCTCGTCGAAATCAGACCACGTATTCTTCTTTCATCACGGGGAATATAAGCTCTCAGTGCTACCGATTCAAGCCCCGAGTGTAAAAAAGATCAATAAATACCGTAAATAAATAAATAAATATAATAAATAATAAATAAATATAAATAAATAATAAATAATAATAAATAAATAATAAATAAATATAAATAAAATAATAATAATATTATAAATATAATAAATAATAAATAAATATAATAAATGATAAATAAATGCCGTAAATACCGATTCAAATACGATTATATTTCCGTAAGAGGGAAGAGGAATAGACGGAGGGAAGAGGAATAGACGCAGGGAAGAGGAATAGACGCAGGGAAGAGGAATAGACGCAGGAAGAAGGGAGCAGGGAAGAGAATAGACGCAGGGAAGAGGAATAGACGCAGGACGCAAGAGGAATAGACGCAGAAGAGGAATAGACGCAGGAAAGAGGAAGACGCGACGGGGAGAGGATAGACGCAGGGAAGAGGAATAGACCGCAGCGATAGACGCAGCGAGAGAAGGAAAAGGAATAGACGCAGGGAAGAGGAATAGACGCAGGGAAGACGCAGGAATAGACGCAGGGAAGAGGAATAGACGCAGGAAGAGGAACAGACGCAGGGAAGAGGAATAGACGCAGCGAAGAGGAATTAAGACGCAGGGAAGGAATAGACGCAGGGATAGACGCAGGAAGAGGAATAGACGCAGGGGAGAGGAATAGAGCGCAGGGAGAGGAATAGACGCAGGGGAGAGGAATAGACGCAGGGAAGAGGAATAGACGCAGGGGAGAGGAATAGACGCAGGAAAGAGGAATAGACGCAGGGAAGAGGAATAGGCGCAGGGAAGAGGAATAGGCGCAGGAAGAGGAACAGACGCAGGGAAGAGGAATAGACGGAGGGAGAGGAATAGACGCAGGGGAGAGGAATAGCGCAGGAAAAAGGAATAGACGCAGGGAAGAGGAATAGACGAGGGAAGAGGAAAGACGCAGGGAAGAGGAATAGGCCGCAGGGAAGAGGAATAGACGCAGGGAAGAGGAATAGACGCAGGGGAAGAGAATAGACGCAGGGGAGAGGAATAGACGCAGGGAGAGGAATAGACGCAGGGAAGAGGAGACGCAGGGCGCAGGGAAGAGGAATAGACGCAGGGGAGAGGAGAGAAAGGGAATAGACGCAGGGAGAGGAATAGACGCAGGGAAGAGGAATAGACGCAGGGAAGAGGAATATTAGACGCAGGGAAGAGGATAGGAGAGCGGTTACCTAATTCCATTTTCCATTTAATGAAACATTAACACGTCCAGCAATTATGTATTCCTCTTTTTTATTCCTCTTTTTTATTTTCCATTTTTATTTGGTTATTTTCTCCGTAAAGGTTATGTTTTCCGCCGCGTTGGTTT